TGTCCACTTTGGGAGAGATGAGGATTCCTGTACCAACCACCCCCCTGACCAGATGCTCCGGGGTAATGCGAGAACCCATGGTCAGACGAGGAGAGAGCAGTAGGAGTAGCAGTGTTTTCCAGTGGTGATCCATGTTTCCGTCAGCGCCAGGACAGTCGAGGGACTGGAGGTTGGCATAGGCTGGGATGAAGTCAGCTTTGTTGGCACAGAACGGCAGTTCCAGAGGCGCCTGCGACCTGGACTCCACGTGGGTGGTGCATGCAGGGACCACCAGGTTAGAGAGGCAGCACCACGCGTTGGTGCGTTTGTGTAGCCTGTGCAGAGAGGAGAGAACAGGGATAGGCAAGGCATAGTTTGACAGCTGTAGCAAATGGCTACAAAAATGCCAGAGGAATCGGAATGAAATGAGCTAAGCATCTGGAGAGGAGAGAGCAGGGCCTCCCACAACCAAAAACTTCTACCTCAGAAACTAAAATTGTTTCAACTGAACCACCCGAACAAAAACTCTCCCAACTTCCACCTTTAGAAATCAGAATTGTTGTGAACCACAGCGGTTCAATGTTTAAAGGAATAGACTCAACCCACTTTATTCAGCTAGCTAACCTATGACAACCATAGCTAACTAGCAGCTAGCATCCAATAAACAACTAACACAGAACCGTTTAGCACCAACACTTGGTCACAACAACCACCAATAGTGTGATAACACACTAACCAGATCATTCGTGTCTGTGTCAAGTTCCTTTCATGGACGCAGCAATGATTAGACGTTGGCTAGCTAGGACAAGTATATTGTATTTAGCTACTACCCGTCAGTTAGCTGGTCGTGTTGGGTAGCTAGGCAATGGCCCACTGTGTTGACTTTGTTTGAAGAACGGCTAGCTAGCTAGCTTCGTGCTACACCCGGCACACAATGGCTATTGTGTTGACTCTGACTCTGTTAGAAAAAAACGGCTAGGTACGCTCGCTTCGTGCTACAGCCGGCACGGCCGAGACACTGCCAAGACACACCAATAGTGTGATAACACACTAAACAGATCATTCGTGTCTGTGTCAAGTTCCTTTCATGACGCAGCCAAATGATTAAACGTTGGCTAGCTAGGACAAGTATATTGTAGTTAGGCTACTACAGTACAGTTTAGGCTGGACGTGTTGGGTAGCTAGCAATGGCCACTGTGTTGACTTTGTTTGAAGAAGGGCTAGCTAGCTAGCTTCGTGCTACAACCCGGCACACAATGGCTACCTGTGTTGACTCTGACCCTGTTCGAAAAACAGCTAGTTAGACTCGCTTCGTGCTACAAGCCGGCACGGCCGAAGACAACTGCCAAGAACACAGTAACTACCCACAACAACCCACGATGCCTAGCTATGCGCCGTAGCTAACTAGCAAGCTAGCATCCATTAACACACCAATTTAGCACCAATACTTGGTTACAACAAACTGGCAAGAGTGTGTTAGCACACTAAACAGATAATTCATGTCCGTGTCTAGTTCCTTTCATAACGCATAACGCAGCAAGAAATTAAACGTTGGCTAGCAGCACATTAACATTGGAAACAGCTCTCCAGCGTTGCTAATCGTTACCAGTAGCTACCCGCTAGCTAGCTAGCCTCGTGCTTCGATACTAACCTACAATTCCCTACGGAAACCTCAATACAACAACACTATAATAATAAATACCTAACTACAGCTAATACCTCCCTAGACTAATCATGGTAGCACATTAACTGGAACCACTCTCACATTACTAACGATATAACCAATAAACATACCAGTACTACCGCAGCTAGCTAGCCTGGCTTCGCCGGGCTCCCCGAACAATACAAACATAGAACAAACTTACCTACAATTCCCTCGGAAACCCAATACTACAAAAACTACCTACTCCCTACCTCGATCTAATACATGGTTTATACATGTTCCCATTACTGTATCCATATCGTATCCCTATGATCCCATATACGTATCCATATACTGTCCCATTATGCATCCTATCTGATCCCATAACTGATCCATATACTTATCCATATACTGTATCCCTATATGCACCCAATCTGAAATCCATATACGGATCTCATATCTGTTCCCATATCTGATCCCAAAACGGTATCCTTTATACTGTATCCTATACTGCATCCCATATACTGCATCCAATCAAGTATCCTATACTGCACCCCATATACGTTCCCTAAGTATCCCTATCTGTATCCCATATACTTATCCCATATATGAACTCCATATAACTGTACTCCCATATACTGTATCCCATATACGGGAAAATCCCATAATGGGTATCCCATAACTTGTATCCCATTCTGCTTTACATATACTGTATCCCATATACGCATCCCATATACTTTTACCCCTATACTGTACCATATACGTACCCATTATACTGAAAACCCTATCGGAAAATCCCTATACTGCATCCAATACTGTACCCCCCATATACGGCATCCAAAATACTGTTATCCATTACTGTATCCCATATCCGGTACCCATAACTGTATCCCATATACTGTATCCAATATACTGTATCCCATATACGCATCCCATATACTGCATCCCATATACTGTATCCCATATCTGTATCCCATATACTGTATATGATCCCATATACTGATCCCATATACTGTATCCCATTACTGCACCCCATATACTGTATCCCATATACTGCATCCCATATAACTGTATCACATATACTGTATCCATATACTGCATCCCATATACTGTATCCCATATACTGTATCCCAATACTGTATCCCCATATACTGTATCCCATATCTGCATCCCATATACTGTATCCCATATACTGTATCCCATATACTGATTCCCATTACTGCATCCCATATACTGTATCCCATATACTGCACCCATATAATGTATCCCATATACTGCATCCCCATATACTGTATCCCATATATGTATCCCATATACTGATCCCATATACTGTATCCCATATACTGTACCCCATCCCATATACTGCATCCCATATACTGTAACCCCCATAACTGTACCCCATATACTGTATCCCATATACTGTATCCAATTACTGCACCCCATATATGCATCCATTTTACTGTATCCCACCCCATATACCAACGATCCATATACTGATCCCATATATGTATCCTCACATATACTGCATCCCAATACTGTATCCCATATACTGCATCACATAATTTTACTGTATCCCATATACTGTATCCCATATACGTATCCCATATACTGTATCCCTATACTGTATCCCATATTACTGCATCCCATATACGGGATCCCTATACTGTATCCCATATACTGCATCCCATATACTGTATCCCATATACTGCATCCCTTTAATACGTATCCCTTATACTGTATCCCATATACTGCATCCCATATACTTTCCCATATACTGTATCCCATATACTGTATCCCATATCCTTTTTATCCCAATACTGCATCCCATATACTGTATCCCATATACTGTATCCCATATACTGCATCACATATACTGTACCCCATATACTGTACCCCATATACTGCATTCCCATATACTGTACCCATATACTGTATCCCAAAACTGCATCACATATACTTGCATCCCATATACTGCATCCCATTACTGTATCCCAATACTGCATCACATATACTGTATCCCTATACTGTATCCCATATACTGTATCCCATATACTGCATCCCATATACGGTATCCCATATACTGTATCCTATACTGTATCCCATATACTGCAGCCCATAAAACTGCATCCATATACGGTATCCCATATACTGCATCCCATATACTGTATCCCATATACTGATCCCATATACTGTATCCCAATACTGTACCCCATATACGGCATCCCATATACTGTATCCCATATACTGCAGCCCATATACTGTATCCTATATACTGTATCCCTTTATACTGCATCCCATATACTGTATCCCATATACGTATCCCATATACGTATCCCATATACTGTATCCCATATGCATCCCATATACATAATCCCATACTGAAACCCCATATACTGTATCCCATATACTGTATCCCATATACTGCATCCCAATACTGTATCCATATACTGCTTCCATATACTGTTCCCATATACTGCATCCCCATATACTGTACCCCATATACTGTATCCCATCCCATTACTGTTCCATTATACTGTGACCCCATATACTGATCCCTTTATACTGTACCCAAACTATATGCATCCCATATACTGTACCCCATATACTGATCCCATATACGGTATCCCATATCCTGCATCCCATATACTGCATCCCCATATACTGTATCCCATATCTGTATCCCATATACTGTATCCCATATACTGAAATCCCATATACTGTATCCCATATACTTATCCCTATACTGTATCCATATACTTGCATCCCATATACTGTATCCCATATACTGATCCCATATACGGTATCCCATATAGCCATATACTGTACCCCATATACTGGTATCCCATATACTGTATCCCATATCTGTATCCATATACTGTATCCCATATACTGTACCCCATATACTGTATCCCTTTATACTGTACGCATATACTGCATCCCATATACTGTATCCCATATACTGATCCCATATACTGCATCCCATATACTGTAATCCCATAACGGTATCCCTATCGTGCATCCCATATACTGTATCCCATATACTGTATCCCATATACTGCATCCCATATACTGTATCCCATATACTGTATCCCATATAGTGCATCCCATATACTGTGTGTGTCCAGCAGAGTTCCCCACTCCAAAGACTGAGCTGGTCCAGAGGTTCACGGTGCTGTATCTGGGTATGATGCCTGTATCCAGACCTATAGGTGAGTCTCACACACACACACACACACACACACACACCACACACACACACACACACCACACACACACACACACACACACACACACTAACTGTGTGTGATCTGAGGTAGTTAGTGAGGTGATCGTTGGCCTCTAACCTTTGACCTTAACCCCTGGCCCCGTGACCCTAGGTATGGACATAGTGAACGGGGCGATAGACAGTGTGATTGGTTCTTCCAGGAGAGAGGAGTGGACAGCTGTTAACCTCAACGTGGCTGATGCTACCCTCATTATAAGCAACCAACAGGTAACATACTCACCTTTACCCTCATTATCAACCACCAACACTATATTCTGTCTCTCTCGCTCTCTCTTTCTCTCTCCCGCTCTCTGATGACGTCTCATCCTTTGTGGTGTGTGTGTGTGTGTTTGCGTGCGTCCCTGTGTGTGTGTCTGTCTGTCTGTCTCTCCCTGTGTATCAGGAGGTGGAGGAGGAGGTGGAGGAGGAGGTGTTGTTTGAGTGCAGGGTGAGGTTCCTGTCCTTCATGGGGGTAGGGAGGGACATCCACTGCTTTGCCTTCATCATGGACGGAGGAGGACAACGTTATGAGTGTCATGTGTTCTGGTGTGAACCCAACGCTGGACAGCTCTCTGAGGCAGTACAGGCTGCTTGCATGGTGAGTACACTCTATAATATCTAGATCTATGTACAGGCTGCATGCATGGTGAGTACACTCTATAATATCTAGATCTATGTACAGGCTGCATGCATGTTGAGTACCTCTATAATATCTAGATCTATGTACAGCTGCATGCATGGTGAGTACACTCTATAATGTCTAGATCTATGTACAGCTGCATGCATGTGAGTACACTCTATATATCTAGATCTATGTACAGGCTGCATGCATGGTGAGTACACTCTATAATATCTAGATCTATGTACAGGCTGCATGCATGGTGAGTACACTCTATAATATCTAGATCTATGTACAGGCTGCATGCAAGGTGAGTACACTCTATAATGTCTAGATCTATGTACAGGCTGCATGCATGGTGAGTACACTCTATAATATATAGATCTATGTACAGCTTCATGCATGGTGAGTACACTCTATAATATCTAGATCTATGTACAGGCTGTATGCGTGGTGAGTACACTCTATAATATCTAGATCTATGTACAGGCTGCATGCATGGTGAGTACACTCTATAATATCTAGATCTATGTACAGGCTGCATGCATGGTGAGTACACTCTATAATATCTAGATCTATGTACAGGCTTCATGCATGGTGAGTACACTCTATAATATCTAGATCTATGTACAGGCTGCATGCATGGTGAGTACACTCTATAATATCTAGATCTATGTACAGGCTGCATGCATGGTGAGTACACTCTATAATATCTAGATCTATGTACAGGCTGCATGCGTGGTGAGTACACTCTATAATATCTAGATCTATGTACAGGCTGCATGCGTGGTGAGTACACTCTATAATATCTAGATCTATGTACAGGCTTCATGCATGGTGAGTACACTCTATAATATCTAGATCTATGTACAGGCTGCATGCAAGGTGAGTACACTCTATAATATCTAGATCTATGTACAGGCTGCATGCAAGGTGAATACACTCTATAATATCAAGATCTACAGTACTAGTCAACAGTTTGGACACACCTACTCATTCCAGGGTTTTTCTTTATTTTTCTTTATTTTGTACATTGTAGAATAATAGTGAAGACATCAAAACTATGAAATAACACATATGGAATCATGTAGTAACCAAAGAAGTGTTAAACAAATCAAAAAATATTTTATATTTGAGATTCTTCAAATAGCCACCCTTTGCCTTCATGACAGCTTTGCACACTCTTGGCATTCTCTCAACCAGCTTCACCTGGAATGCTTTTCCAACAGTCTTGGAGTTCCCACATATGCTGAGCACACTGCTTTTCCTTCACTCTGCGGTCCGACTCATCCCAAACCATCTCAATTGGGTTGAGGTCTGGGGATTGTGGAGGCCAGGTCATCTGATGCAGCACTCCATCACTCTCCTTCTTGGTAAAATAGCCCTTACACAGCCTGGAGGTGTGTTGGGTCATTGTGCTGTTGAAAAACAAATGATAGTCCCACTAAGCCCAAACCAGATGGGATGGCGTATCGCTGCAGAATGCTGTGGTAGCCATGCTGGTTAAGTGTGCCTTGAATTCTAAAGAAATCACAGACAGTGTCACCAGCAAAGCACCCCCACACCATAACACCTCCTCCTCCATTCTTTACGGTGGGAACTACACATGCGGAGATCATCCGTTCACCCACACCGCGTCTCACAAAGTCACGGCGGTTGGAACTAAAAATCTCAGATTTTGACTCCAGACCAAAGGACAAATTTCCACCGGTCTAATGTCAATTGCTCGTATTTCTTGGCCCAAGCAAGTCTCTTCTTCTTATTGGTGTCCTTTAGTAGTGGTTTCTTTGCAGCAATTCGACCATGAAGGCCTGATTCACACAGTCTCCTCTGAACAGTTGATGTTGAGATGTGTCTGTTACTTGAACTCTGTGAAGCATTTATTTGGGCTGGTAACTCTAATGAACTTATCCTCTGCACCAGAGGTCTCTGGGTGCTCTGGGTCTTCCATTCCTGTGGCGGTCCTCATGAGAGCCAGTTTCATCATAGCGCTTGATGGTTTTTGCGACTGCACTTGAAGAAACTTTCAAAGTTCTTGAAATGTTCCGTATTGACTGACCTTCATGTCTTGAAGTAATGATGGACTGTCATTTCTCTTTGCTTATTTGAGCTGTTCTTGCCATAATATGGACTTGGTCTTTTACCAAATAGGGCTATCTTCTGTATACCCCCCCTACTTTGTCACAACACAACTGATTGGCTGAAACGCATTAAGAAGGAAATAAATTCCACAAATTAACTTTTAAGAAGGCACACCTGTTAATTGAAATTCATTCCAGGTGACTACCTCATGAAGCTGGTTGAGAGAATGCCAAGAGTGTGCAAAGCTGTTTAACACTTTTTTGGTTACTACGTGATTCCATATGTGTTATTTCATAGTTTTGATGTCTTCACTATGGTCCCCACCTGGTGTTCCAGGTCTAAACAAGGCCTGATCATTAATGGTCCCCACCTGGTGTCCCCGGTCAAAAACAGGCCCTGATCATTAAGGGTCCCCACTGGGGGTCCCAGGTCTAAAACGGGCCCCCCTGATCTTAATGGGGGGCCCCAACGGGCCCTGATTTTGGGTCCCCAGGTTTCCCTCTAAAAGGGCCTAATCATTAATGGTCCCCACTGGTGTCCCGGGTCTAAACGGGGGCCCTAACTTAATGGCCCCCATGGTTGTCCCTTTTCCCCTGTCATTTGTTCCCCTTTGATTTTCCCTCCCCTTTTTTTCCCCTTTTCCTCCCCTTGCCCCCTTTTTTCCCGGCCCTTTTTATCTCCTCCTCTTTTCCTCTTTCTTCTCTTCCTTGGTTCCCTTTCCTTTTTGCCCTTCTTGTTCCCTTTTATCTTCTTCTCTCTCTGGCCCCTCCTCCTCTCTTTTCTCTTCTCCTCCTTCTTCTTCTTAAAAACCCCCCCCCCCCCCCCCCCCCACTCCCCTCCCTTTAAGGATCAAAGTGCCTTTTGGCTCCCCCCCCTCCGGAACCCCCCCCCCCCTCCAGGGGCTGTGGCCTCCCCCCCGGGAGGGGCCCCGGGGGGTAACCATGGTAATGGCGGTGGGAAGGAGAGACTGGTCCAGCGTGTCCCCCCAGCGTAAAGGAGGATCGTCCCTCATCGACCCCCCTAAAACAGAAGAGAACCGCTCCCCAAGCCACTGACCACCAGAAAACCCAGGAAAAAAAAAATAACATTGGACTACACCCAACCCCCCGGTAATAGGAAAAAAAAACACCTACTAAACCGCACACCCTGTAATATGGAAGCAAAGCACAGCCCTTTTGGTAACCATGGAAACATTGTTTGGCACGCGAATATGGCACCCAAACGTAAAAACCCCCCCTCCCCCATAGCGTCCCCTCCCCAAAGACTTTCCCCCCCCCCTCCCCCCCCTTTAGAGGTCCTCCCCTCCCCCATGACGGTCCCCCTCCTCCATAGATGGTCCTCCCCTCCCCCATAGACGGTCCCCCCCCCATAGCTCCCCCCCCCTCATGCGGTCCTCCCCTCCAAGAGGCCCTCCCTCCTCCATAGAGGTCCTCCCCCCCTCCATAGGGTCCCCCCCCCTCCATAGGGGTCCCCCCCTCCTCCATAGATCCTCCCCTCCTCCATAGAGGTCCCCCCTCCCCCCCTGAGGTCCCCCCCCTCCCCTAGACGGTTCCCCCCCCTCCAAGAGGTCCTCCCCTTTTTTCCCCTAACGGCCCCCCACCCCCCCATAGTGGCCCCTCCCCTCCTCATAAGGCCCTCCACCTCCAAAACGTCCCCCCTTCCTCCCAAGAGGGTTTCCCTCCCCCCCCCTCCATAACGGTCTCCCCTCCTCCATAGAGGGCCCTCTTCCCAAAACGGCCCTCCCCCTCCATAGAGGTCCCCCCCTCCCATGGGCCCTCCCCTCCTCCATAGACGGTCCTCCCCTCCTATAATGGCCCCCTCCCCTCCCCCCCCCATAGGGTCCTCCCCTTTCCCCATAGATGTCCCCCCTTTCCCCCCAAAGAGGGTCCTCCCCCCTCCAAACGTCCCCCCCTCCTCCTAGACGGTCCTCCCCTTCCTAAGGTTCCCCTCCCCCATAGACGGTCTCCCCTCCTCCATAGGGTCCTCCCCTCCCCCAAGAGGTTTCCCCCCTCCTCCATTGACGGTCCCCCCTCCAAAAAGGCCCCCTCCCTTCCCCCATGACGGTCCTCCCCCCCTCCATAACGTCCCCCCTCCTCCATGAGGGGCCCTCCCCTCCCATAGACCCCCCTCCTCACCTCCCCCCTAGAGGTCCTCCCCTCCATAGACGGTCCCCCTCCTCCAAAGGTCTCCCCCCCCATAGAGGTCCTCCCCTCCTCCATAGGGCCTCCCCCCTCCATAGAGGTTCCCCTCCTCCATAATGGCCTCCCCCCCCATAGAGGCCCCACCTCCCCAAAAGGTCCCCCCCCTCCATAGAGTCCCCCCCCCTCATAGACGGTCCCCCCCCTCCTCCTAGCGGTCCCCTTCATAATTCCCCCCTCCTCCATGACTTTTATCCCTCCCCTCCCCAAGACGGCCCCCACCTCCTCAAGAGGCTCCCCCCTCCAGGACGGTATCCCCTCAAAAGGTCCCCCCTTCCCCCATAGCGGTCCCCCTCCCCCCTAATTCCCCCCTCCCCTAAAGGGCCTCCCCTTCCAAACCCCCCCTCCTACCCCCCTCCATAAAAGGTCCTCCTCCTCCATAGACGGCCCCCCCCTTCCATAGCCTCCCCCCTCCTCCATAACGGTCCTCCCCCCCCATAGAGGCCCTCCCCTCCTCCATAGACGGCATCCCCCCTCCAAACGGTCCCCCCCTCCTCCATGAGGCCCTCCCTTCCCATAGAGGGCCCTCCCCTCCCCATAACAGTCCTCCCCTCCAAGAGGTCCTCCCCCCCCTATAGCCCTTTTTGCCCAGGAAAGCACAAGTGTACCCTCCCAAGAAAAAATTGTGATATCCCCCGCCCCCCCCTTTGAATCGCCGGGGGTATGGGGCAATTTTAAAAAAAAATAGCTACTAAACCCTTTTTTCTAAAAATGTCTTTTCAC